CGCAATCAGTACATTAGCCACAAAGCGTAAAAGTCGTAATCAGCTATGAAACTTTAACTTTATAGCGAAAATTTTGCGTAATTCGTAATCAGTAACCCTCATGCAGGCCCTGAACACTGCGTGGCGCACGAAATGTATCAAAGTTTGAGGCGTAAAGAACTCTTGAATTATGCTTCGCCCCCTTGTTTTACACGATGTTTACTCTCTCTTCCGTAACTCCATACGTCAACCTCCCCTATCTAGGGGAAAAATAAAGAACTCGAGTGGCGATTTGGCACGTCGATGCGTTAGATTTTTTAAAAATTATATCTGAAATAGCGCAGGTCGGGTGACATCAAAATAAAGCCGTCCACGTCGCAAGGCCGGACACAAAACTTGTTCAAGAAGGTTGTATTACTTTGTTATCGTTCTGTACCTTATTAAGCCATCAGATTTCCGATATTAAAAAAAGAAATGTTTGGTTATAAATACTATTTGCTCTACTGTTATTTGCATGCATTGAAAACATACTAAAACATGCACGCATCGTCTGCGTAAAAATCTGTAGTCAACGCGGTTCAACTTCAAGTAACAGCGGCGCCGGCCCTTCGGAAACCTAAGGTCTCACACCGAAGATCGGAGTTGCGGGAGAGGATTTCGTACCGCGGGATATCCCGATAAATCCCGCAGGAGATCCCGCAAACTCCCGCAGGAGATCCCGCAAACTCCCGCAGGAACTCCCGCAAACTCCCGCGTGATATCCCGCAAACTCCCGCGGGATCTCCCGCGGGACTTGATGCTTATCCCGAGATCTGTACTGTAATGTTTTTGAATGAAGAGAGACTTCTACTTGTGGATAAGGCCACACCAGCCTTATTTCTTGGTTCTCAGCCAGACTAACAGAGTATCAGGTGTTTTGGCACCCGTTTGTACCTTGGTACAGTTTTATGGAGCACAATGTCATGTAGTCTGAAGTTGAAGTGTTTCACATTGACCTTCCACTAAATTTTGACATTGAAAGCAAGAAAATAAATTGATGTGACTTTAATCCGCTTTATGATTTCATTCATTTGACAGTAAATTAAAGTACAGATGATTCAGCTGTATTCTCCCATGTTTAGGCCTGATTGCGGTTTGCATGGTTAGGCCAGACCAATTTTATTTGTTGGTTCTTGGATTCGCCACTTCATTTTTTTCTAAATTGGC